TTGTTAGCATACGAAAAACAAAAACATTTACTAGCAAAAGGTTAACATTGTTTTCAATTATAATCATTAGCAATTTAACTTTCGTTGCAATCCAACACTGCTCTCACCGCACTCTTTTTAAGTTTTTCGCTCAGCTTGCTGATGGTTTTTTGCTTTTATTTAATTTAGTTATTATATTTATGTATGTAGATTAATTGCTTTTCACTATTTATATTTATTTATTTTTATGGCTGATTCAAATAAAATCATAAAAATTTTACATACATAGACTACATACAAATTTATGCCTTATAACATTGTTCACGCTGCGTGGCAGGGCAGTTACGTTAACGTAACAAACATCTTAACGAGCACTTGCGAGAGCGTACTACTTAAGCTAAATAGACCCGTTAGTAATTACTCTCACTTGCGCTGCGTCGCGTTTCATATTCAATGTTACGTTGTGTCAGTTTATCGTCACAATATTTTTGTTTGAATTTTATTGGACGTTTTAGAACGTAACAGCGCTTGCGCGCAAAAAGTGGAATGCAAATAAAATATACGAAACGTCACTACAAGTGACAATTGAGGAGAGCATGCGTGCGAGAGCGGTACATACATACATACGTTTACTCGTATTACATACAATACAAATTACATATACATACATTTATGGTTGATTAGGCAGTTTAAATTTGCAGTAATAACGCTGCGCGGCACTTTGCTTGCGTTACGTTACATCGAGTGTACATACATACATACATATGTAGTACATACAAACATGTATTTTGGGTTACATACATACATACCACGATTGAGAGAATACAAAGGTTGCGCCGATCTCGGACCGCTACTCCTCTCTTAACGAATTTGACGGAATCGTTGTTTGCATGACGTCACACTGGTGCAACTTGTTTACGTTTTCCTTGCAACATTTTTTCTTCTTCTTCCATTCTTGCTCACGTTTTGGCATTTCTCTCTCGCAATTGCACCAGTGTGACGTCACACACAAGTTATTCTCAAAAATCCTCTCCGATCGGCGCAATCTTGTATTCTATCATTCTTGCATACATACGTGTCAACAACCAGCACAGCACAGCGTGAAAAGCCCTTTTGTATTTAGTTTAATTTTTTTTTTTTAAATACATATTTACTTTATTTGTTTCAGTTAATATTATTTTCTTTTCTATAAGTAGTACTTTCTTTCAGCTTTCATACAAATCATATGCTTACATACATATATATTTATTATATATATTTTTGAATTTAAATTTTTGTTGACTATATACGAAGGTACACACAGCTTACATTGGTTTGTTTGCATTATTTTCTTATTTATTTGGTATTATTTATTTTTAATTTAATTCAGATTACTCTGCTGATTATTTAATTTTATTCTTACTTTTATTTATAATTTTTCTATTATAATTAAAATTAATTTTCTAACGATTTTCTTTTGCTTTGATAGTTATCTGTGCAATTAACGCAATCAAAAACAGAGTTAGTGTATGAGTTAGTGAGCGGCGTGAGAGCGTACATACATATACATATGTGTATGCGTGTGTGACAGAGATGCAACTTAATGCATCGTTGGCTTGGCTAAGCCGAGTGTATTTGTGTGTGTAAGAGAACTGAAAAGTTGTGGTCTTGACTAAATGAGTGAGCGAGAGATGTTAATCAATCAAACAAGGATGTTGTCTTCACTGCAATGGTGAGTACGTTGTGTTACTGACGGAACTCACAATCAGTTATAGTCGTTCCTATTGACATAAAACCTGTAAGTGGGAACACATTTGAGAGAGTGACTGAGGAACTGTTCCTAGTCAGAAGTTACAGGATTTAGTCTGGAGTTTTTTTCCTGTAAGTTCATGAAAACAACAACAGAACGCGGTTAAAGCAAAGAACCTTATATTTGTAAAAAAAATGGAAGTAAACAATGAAATATTTGAATATGTATAGATTTTAAAATTTATTTGTCTAGTGGTATTTCAGCCAGATCAGTGTTGCACCAATGACATGTAAACAAACCGACTGACGTTTTAACAGGAAGTAGTGCTTTTTGCTTTTTGCGTTCCCGTACACTTCTGTATTAGTTCTCTTTTTACTCTCACTTGAGAGAGTAAAATTGTAGTTGGACAGTTCCGAAGAAGTTCAAAGGAACAGACTAAAAATAACATGATTTTTGAGATGAAAATGTGTGAGAGATAGAGCAGGTGAGAAAGTAGTCGAGGTCATTGGACTGACACAGTGCTTAAGTTAACGTTTGGGTGTTAAGAGACCAACTTGTGAATACTTTATGCGCTTTTATTTTATTCATAAAAATATTGCACAATTGCATGCATTTTGTTTTTGAATTTTTACTACTTAGCTGGTGGGCATTTACTATACAAAAAAGTGTATACATATTGATTACTTTAAAAAATACTTTTAAAAGCTATAAAGCTGGTCGTTCGCTTATTTAATTTTTTTCGGGTGGGTGAAAGAGGCTTTAAAGTGCGTGTAAAAAATATTTTGTGTAAAATAATATTTAAACTAAGTGAGCCATTTGCTGCTGGTAGAGGAACTTTTAAGATTTTTGGTGACAATGCGTTTCGAATAATATAGTATATTAAAATTCTGCAAAAAAAATTGTATTTTTAAAATGAAATCTTCATTTGAAAGAATAAATAAAAAAATTGTACTTTCGAAATGGAAAATATTTTCAAACTTAAACCGTACTTTGCAAGAAGTAAACATTTGAAAGGGCTATAAAAATTTAATGGATCAAAATTAAAAAGAAAATTAATATTTTTTTGTATTTTGGAAATGGAAATTAAAATTATTAATACTTTAAATAAATAAAAATTTGAAATGGATACTAACGTTTAAAGAAACAAAATTTTCACAAAAAAAATGTATTATAAAACAAAACAACATTTAAAAGGGATATAAAAGTTCAAAGAATAAAAATTTTTACAACAAGAATTTTGAATAAAAATAATTTTTGTATTTTCGAACGGGCAAATATGTATAACTAAACTTTTTTTTAGGAAAAAATATTGAAAATCATAAAAAAGTTGAATGGATTAAAATGTTCACCGAAAAACTTTTAGTAAAAATAATTTTAATATTTAAAGTATATGCATCTAAATAAATAAAAAAAAACTTTGAATTAAATATAAGAAACAAAAGAATTTTTTTTACTAACTTAATTTTAATTAAAATTCAAATTTTAAAATTAAAGGAAAATGTAAAATATATGTTTTTAGTAAAGGATATGATATACATATTGTATTGTAACTGCAAAGAATAAAAAAACTCGGTATACAAATTTTTAAAGTATAAAACTATAGTAGGAAAATTTTTACTTGGCTGTAGAAAAATTTTTCACAAAAAATTCTCTGTAAGTTAAAAAAAAATATATAAAATAAAGACAAAAGTGTAAAAAAATTATAGAAGTTGAAATAAAAATATAATAATGGTTAAGACAAAAATTTTTAGTAGAAATGTTTTGAGAATTACCAAAAATATTTAAAATATTTTTAAGGCTAGAACGTTATTCAAAAGTTTATATAGTTATATGGATTTCTATTTATTTTATTAACAGGTTTTTAATTTCAATTATAAACTGCAAAATTCTTGAAATATTTTTTTTTTACTCAATCCATAATTACGAAGTTTCATTTAGGTAAAATAAACCAAGTTTTACACATATTTCAAGAAAGAAACTTCATAAATTTAAACAATTTTCAAGAATTATAAATATGTTGAGAAATTTAAGGTAGACATTTTTTTATACAAATTTGTGGAGTAAAAAATTTTAACATGGAAAAGATATAACAACTTACAAAACTTAAAAAAAAATTAAAACAAAAATTAGAAGTTTAAAATTTTCAAAATTTTAAAAAGTAGTAGATATGAATAAAAAAACATTCTTAAAACTATTTAAAATTTATTTTAAAAATTTAAGAATGATTTCAATAAAAATGCCCAGATTTATAAATTTAAAAAACTCTCAATTTATGCAGCCTTTTAAATTATTTTAATTCCATTAATATTTAGTTTTATTACTTAAACTGTTTGAATAATTCATCTCTTTTAAGCAAAAATAATACTTCTACACATTTTTGGGAAGTGTGGAATTTTTTTCTTAATGGGCGAAAATGTCTGTACATAAAGAGATTCAAAACACCGTTGTTAAGCGTAAAGTTTATTTTGAAGGCAGAGTTGATAAATTTTTATTGTAATTTCGAATACAAGTTAAGTACATCTTTTTAAACAAACGAAAAATATTTAATATCTTAACGAAATAAAAATATATAGCTTAAATTATTTGCAGCTTAATATTTTTCTTGCTCTTATACTGTACCCTCTTTTTAGTACATGCGCGTGTGTGTGAGACTCTGTAGGTTAGTGGGCGTTTACTTCAATCAGGGGTGTATTTTTTCTCAATGATATTATTTCATTTGATTTTTTTTATTATATTATTTTAACATTTATCTTTCTATTATGAATAAAATTTATCATTCTGCTGCCTGCTCTACACTTTTAACTGCTTTATTTTTGTTTACTATTTTGCTAAGTTATATTTTTTTTTTTAATTTCTCTAGAAGTGAAGAAATTTTATTTTAACTTATTATAGGTTTTTTTTTATTTATGCTTAGTTTATTTTTTTCAATTAAATTTTTATTTTTATTTTGAATGTCAATTAAATATTTAATATTTAATTTATTAGCATTGCGTCAATGTCAGCTGCGTTTTTTTTATTACTGATTTCTGTTTTTATTTATCTTTTTTAATTATACTAAAATAATGCGTTCTCACAATTTTTACTTAAAAACCTACATTTTCTGTACCATTTTTTTCTGTATTTAGTATTAATGTTTATTTATATTTTAAATTTTTATTTTCATATTTTACTTTATGCTAAACTTTTTTGCTGCTTTCTGGTTCAAAATTTTTTTCTATTTTATTTAATACTTATTTATTTATATTTTTTTTACGGGAGGGCGCTTAGATTTTATTAACAAATTTAAACAAATTTTTTTCTTTGCATATCTTTTTTCTTCTCATTTTAGTTTAAATACTAATAATAATTTAGTTTTTATAAATTTAACTTGCACTGAGACACCAAACAGCATTTACAGCGCATGCGTGTGTACGTTCATAAATATGTATTATATTTTGGTTGATGTATGTGTGTGGGTGTATGGTGTTATATGTAAATTGCTGTGGCTGTCACTTTATGTTTGTATTGTTTAGCTTTATATGAATGTGGGACAGGGGGATGAGGGGCGTGGTTTTACAAACTTATGCATATGTACATGCATATTAGGGTAGTCCCTGATAGATCGACATCATGGCGCACTCACTCTCTTATTTTGGTTTACGTAAAAACTGAAAATATCCACGAAAATTAAAAAGAAATTTAATAAAATTTAGGGTCGCTACCAGGGTTTTAAAATTTTTAATTTTTTTTTTTAAATCGCAAAAAATCCCCAAAATTTTGACTTTGGCTATAGCTCAGCCAACTTATGACTTTATATGAATAAGTTTCAATAAAAAATCTGTCAAATTTATCAGGTTTCCAGTACAAATCTTGTTGAATTTTTGCGAATTCAAAAAAAAAATTCTAATTTTATCGACACCTAAGTTTGTTTTTTAATACTTGAGATTTTCGTATATGTTTTTATTTTGTAAGTAGCACAAAAAAGGGTGTATCCCATTTTGAGGTCGATATTTTAAGCACCACCCTAATCAATACATTTTATTTGCTTTATTTGTATGTATGCATGCATGTATTTGTGGGCATGTCAAGTTGCACTTCTTCGCTTACCAATAAAAAAATTTACAAATTTTTCACATGCGATTTTTTTCAGTAAAAATTTGCATTGGGGATTGAAGTTTTTTTTTCTAAACAAACATGCATATCTTGCGCGCTCACTGTCTTAAAGCGCGTAGCCTAGTTTCGCTTTCATAACTTTTTTTTGTGACAAGTGACATTTTCTATGGCTGTGTGTATTTTCGGTTTAACTTTTTTTTGCATGTAGTGTGTAGTTTGTTTGAAATTATATTTGCTCTGAATATTTTTTTATTGTTAGTGGCTGCTTGCTTCTTCATTTGTTTTGCTACTAATCTTTTTGCTTCGCTTTGCGTCTTACATACATAGCTACTTACAAATCGCCTAGAAGTTTTTTGTTTTGTATTTTTATGTTTTTTTTTTTAAATACATATACATAACTGTATTTTGTTTTTACTGTAATGTAATAAATTTTTGGTTTTTGCTTTTGTTGTAATGTATTGTTTGTTGTTTGTTGTTTATTTGCTTCTTGTGTTTTTGTTTTCTTCTTTTTTCGCTGCGCTGATTTTCGTTATTTCTTTTTCGCTTTTACATTTTATTTTATTTTACTTTTATTTTTATTTTTGAATTATAGTAATAATTTTCTTACTCAACTTGCTTTCACTATTCAAAAATATCAACAAATCCTAATAAATATTCTCAATAATTAAATTCTACTAATTTTCAAAAAACTTCGGCTTGCTTTTGGTTTTCTTTCTCTCAGTTAAGTAAGCGTTTAAAGTAAAGGAAATAAGCACGAAAAAAGCCTTTTTGAGTTATTATCAAAATTTTTAAGCGCATTTTTTCGCTTTCTAAAGCAAACAATTTTTAACTACATAATTAAATTTTTTTCCTACAATAAAGTGTATTTATTATTCTTTTTCATCTCTTACGTAAATGAAATTTACAGAATTTAAAAAATATGTTTGTTTTTGTTTCTCTGTTGCTGCAGTGTTTTGTTTTGCATTTGGTTTATATTTTTTGTGTTTTTTGCCTTTTTTACTATTTTTTTCAAAAATTAATGTATATACATACATATGTATATATACGAGTACGTATGTACATATGTACATATGTAGGTATTAAATTATGCCTTGTTACGCTTTTTGTCTTATTTTTTTTGTCATTTATTTATATATTTAGTTTTATTTATTCAAAATTTGGTTTGCTCTCGCTCTATTTTGCTTATTTTTCTTGGTTATGTTCTTTGAATTTATTTTGTGTATTTTCTCTTCGTTCGCAAAATAAATATGTATTTAGCTTTTTTTATTTTACTATAAATTTTGTTTGCTTACTATTTTGCTGACATTTTTAATGCATTTAATTTTGAATCATTCATTTAGCTGTTGTTGTTGTGGTTCTTTCTCACTGCTTGCCGCTAAATTTGCTCTTTATTTATTTAGTTACGGCTTGTCGTTCTTGTCTTTGGTTGTTGCTGTATTTTTTCATGCATTCCTTCTTTGCTTTCAACCCTGCTGTTACGTCTACCCCTTCCTTTTGCTCTTTTCCTCTTTCTCTCCCTATCTCACCCTCCATCTAACCTCTGTACTTCTTTACTTTCATTACCCTGCTTTACATACTTCCTCTCACTCACTCTTCTCTGTTTTATCTCTTCCTTGCATGTTCGTTTACTTAATTTTGCTACTGTTTCTGTTATTGTTTTATCTGAAGATTTTCTTATTTTCTGTTGTATTTCTTACTTCTCTTGCAAAGTATTTTCCTTGTTTTTATTATAATTTTCTATATTTTTTTTTGTTTTTTGGTTTTGTTATGGTTTTATTAATTTATTTTTTTATGTGCTTCGTTCACTTATTGGCTCCGCGCTATTTCTTAATCAACCATCAACTCGAAGTGGACGGATCCTCTCCTTTCGTGGCGATCGTGGAAAATGTTGTTGGCCCATGCTTTGCATTCAATGTTGATCAAAACGCCGGCTAAAAAGGAGAAAAAACAAAGCATAATATGATAAGTCAGTATGTGTGCATACACACATTTATAAATACATACATATATACATAAAATGATGAAATTAAGAAAGTAAATTTTAAATTGGGGGTTAATGAGTGCTTTTATGACAAAGTGCTCAATGCGAATATTTGGCCAACGAATGTTATGATTCGACCCTTTCGGTTTTTTCAAAAAGAAGGTGCACCACAACTGAAGCCGTAGGCACTTGTGTTCCAGTTAATTGCCGCATGAATCATCCCAAGTATATGATGCATCTTACAATATATTTTCAAAATGTATCCGGCCTGCGGACTAAATCTAACTCGCTTTTCAATATGAGCTCTAATGCTGAGTATGACATCTTTGTCTTGATTGAAACTAGGCTGAATTCGGAGTTTTTTGACAGCGAATTCTTCGACGCCAATTTGTATTGCGTTTATCGCAAAGATCGGGACTACTCCAAATTTGGCCTCTCGAGAGGAGGTGGGGTTCTCATCGCTGTTCATCGCCGGATTCGCTAATCGCTTGTGAGTTTGAGCAACACGGACTCCTTGTTGGATCAATTGTGTGTCTCGGTGCTTGACAGCTCCAGAACTTTTATCTGCGCGTCATACATCCCGCCGTCTAGTGTGGACTCACTCTACAAATCGCACGTTGACAACGTTGTCAATCTCGTCAGTAATCATCATAGTGATAATTTTTGCATTCTCGGAGACTTTAATTAACCGAACGTGGAATGGTCATACTTAGACAATACTTCAACTTTACTTCCTAAATATGTGAACGGTTTTTTCGGAATCGTATCTTGTAGACAACTTCTTAAGTGTTAATCTATCCCAGATAAATAGTCTCACTAATAAGTTATCCAGAACTCTTGATCTAGTTTTCATTAATGCAAATATGAACCTTAATTTAAGTGAATGCCGTGCCCCGGTTTGCATCATGTGCCGCATTCTCTTGATCTCGAATTTTATAACTTCGAAAGTATCTGTTCGAATAATCTATCGCCTAGTTTTAGTTTTAGGCGTTGCAATTTTGATATTGTCAATCTAGAAATCTCCTCCACAGACTGGGAATCAGTATTTTCTGGATTCGGTGTTACACTATTTTTAAAAATAGAGTCAATGAAAAACAAAACTGCTATAAAATCCCGTGGTATACTAAGAAACTAAAGAATTTGAGAAATAAGTTTTACAAAAAATTTAAATCAACTAAAATTTCTGCTTTTAAAGATAAATATCTTCACTATTCGAGAGAGTTTAAAACGTTACGTAACATACTTCAGAGCAGGTATGTTCGTAATTTCGAGTCGGATATCAAGGTGAATCCAAAGTCGTTCTGGAACTATGTAAATTCCAAAAAATCATGCTCTAGTATTCCATCGGAAGTCTTTTATAATGGGACCCACGCCTATTCTTCTTCTGAGGCTGCAAATCTTTTTGCTGACTTCTTCCGGTCGAATTTTGTGACACAGTCGGGCACCTCTCGGGGTTTTTTTTCCAACTGTGGATTCTCCAATTAACTTTGGTAGGCTCTCATTATCTCTTGATGATGTAGTTGATGGCATTTTGCAAATCAAATCCTCATTGCAGACAGACGTTGATGGCTTATCATCGTATCTTCTTAAGAATTGTTTGGCCTTTGCAAACCCACTTCTGTTACTATTCAATAAATCACTTGAGTGTGGCGAGTTCATCGATGCCTGCAAAGTTACCTTCATTAGCCCTATATTTAAAAGTGGTGACAAAAGCAATGTTTCCAACTACAGGCCCATCGCCAAGTCGTCGACTGTTTCAAAGCTTTTTGAATTTATTGTTAAGTAGAAGTTGTATTTTACAGTTAAACGCTTAATTTCCGATAATCAGCATGGTTTCATGTCCGGTAGGTCTACTGTGACAAATCTAGCAATTTTCTCGGAATTCTGTATGACGGCTTTCAACGACCGCCTTCAAGTCGACACTGTATATACAGATCTTTCAAAAGCCTTCGATAAAGTCAGCTATTCAATTTTGATTTCTAAATTAGCTAGTTTGGGTTTTCATTCACTATTTTTGTCTTGGATAAAATCCTATCTTCAGCATCGAAACTGTGTAGTCGTTGTCGACAATATGCACTCCAACTATTTCATAGCGTCGTCTGGGGTTCCACAAGGCAGCATCTTAGGCCCCCTGCTATTTGTCAGTTTTATAAATGACATATCGAGTGTTTTGCTAACTCTAATTTCCTTTTATATGCTGATGATTTGAAGATTTTTTCGACCATTTCAGTTTCTTCACCCTCCATTAAGATTCAATCAGACCTTGACAATGTCTCAGCCTGGTGTCGAACCAATGGCCTTGAGTTAAACATAAGTAAGTGTTTTCATTTATCCTACTCCGAATCGCGTTGCGTTATCCCCACTTCTTATTGCATTGCTGGTACCCGTCTATCTGCTCTTAATGAGATAACTGACTTAGGTGTTGTTTTTGACTCGAAATTTTTATTTGATAGTCATTTACACCATTACTAAGTCATATTCAGTGCTTGCTTTTATTCGTCGATTTAGTTCAGATTTCACAGATCCTTATACTCTTAAGTTACTGTTCACGTCACTGGTACGCTCTAAGTTGGAATACGCTTCTTTTATCTGGAGACCCTATCATGGATGATATATTAATAGACTCGAGCGGGTTCAAAAAACGTTTTTACGCTTTGCTCTGCGGTCGTTGAATTTCCCCGACCCTATTCCCTCATATAAAGCCAGGTATGCGCTAATTGACTTGAAATCTCTTCAAAGCAGAAGAACTATCCTTTCGCTCACTTTTGTCTTCGATATAATTAAGGGTGCAATTCGTTCACCATATCTCCTCGAGCGCATTTGCTTCCCTATCCCTAACCGGACTCTCCGAAATAGTGATATTTTTTATACAGAATGTGTCCAATTTTTCGAGCTCTGACTGAGTTCAATATTCTCTCAAATTCTCTAGCCATTGAT